CAGGCCAGGGTTAGGTTAAGCAGCAACTGCCTTCTGATCAGCATCCTGGGGGTGGGGGCAGATCCCTGGAAGGTTCTGGGAAGGGAAGGAGACAAATGACAAAGTGGTGGCTCGCGAAAGGGGCCCTTGACAAATGACTGGAAGGACTAGGTGGACAGATGGGGAAGAGCAAAGGCCCCTGTCCTTTTATTGGAGAACTCCTTGTGGCTCCCTGAACAAGACAGTGGCTCCCCAGGGGCCGGGCTGAAGGTTGGTCTCCCCGGTTCTCTCTGCTGGGATGAGTAATATGGACCAGGGCAGAGGGTCTATATCAATCTAGCTCAGCAGAAAAATGAATGAAAATTGGATTCCCCAAGGAGAATCGGGGAGCTGTTATCCAGACAGAGATAAATCAAAGGATGCCACAGAGAAGGGGGAGAGCAGGTTTCCAACAGCAGGGGAATAATTAAGGAAACAGTTTCAAAATGCAAATGATGAAAGCGGGTTGGAGAGGCAGGAGGACAAGGAGGCGGTGCTTGGAGATGGGCTGATGGGGCACCGGAGTGGCAAGTGGAGAAAGAGGCTGGGGTTCAGAATTCCTGGCCTCTGAGGGTGAACTCGCCCACTCTGGGAAGCTCCTAAAATGTAAGGGTTAGAAGACATGCAAGTCTGCTGTGTAGAGTGGGAAGAGGACCGGAGTGGGAGTCAAAGGCTGGATTTAATCTCCAGTTGGCTCTGCAACTTATTAGCAGCGTGACCCTAGGCAAACCACTTAACCTCTCTGTTAGGTATGATAATCATACCTAAGCCCAGCATGATTGAAGGTCAAATGAGATAAAATATGTAGAGGAACTCTGTAAATTGTAAAGTGCTAGACAAATGCAAGCTATAATCATTTCCCTACATTGGGTTTCTAGGGATTCTTCCTTCAGCATTGGATCCACTGACATGTTGAGTTTGGTTCCCAGAAATGTAATGTGTAGATGTCCAGAAAGCACCAGAAACTCGTATTGATCGACTGCCCTGAGAGAACTCAGACCTGGGGAAAGCCACATCACCACTGACCCATCCTCTGGTGCCCACCCTCCGAGTGAGTTGTAGCCGAAAGCCACAGGTCCACCCTAAAGACTATTGCTCCTGGTGGGTCACCTGCCAGCCCTGGGTGGCTTTCACCGAGAAGACCCCTGCTCTGTCAGCTCAGAGGTTTAGGTCCACACAGATCCACCAGAGAGTCTTCCTGTGGGATTCAGCCATTCCCTTGCGTTCTCTGGGGGTAGAGACTACCTTAGCCCCCATTAGCCTCAGCTTTTTCATCCTCCAGATAGGTATGACAATACCATTTATTGAATTGTTATAAGGAAAAAGATGGATTATGTAGGTAGAAGCACTTACCTGGGTGCCTGGCACAGTTTCAAACTGTCAATAAATATTGGTGGCTCTTATTATCATTGTATCCTATTATATTGTTCCTGTTGCTATCAGCAGCCATAGGCACTAGAAAATCTACTTAAGGAAAGCTTTTCATGGGAATTTCCTCATTTACAGATGGGGAAGTGGAGGCCCCAGGAATGAAGTGAATGCCTCGGCAGATGTATGCTGTTAATGGAAGATGCTGAGAATGGAACCCAGCTCATACTTCTAGAAAAGTCTTGGAACGTGGAAAGGGCATTTATTGGCTGAGCTGTAGTGGGGGTATGAGTGAGGATGCACTGGGGTGCAGGGGAGCTGCTGCCCACAAGTTGAAGAACTGAGAAACCAGTGCACGTCCCAGGGCTCTTGTGCCATTGGATAAAGGTAAGAATGGCATCTGCTCAGTCAGCGCTGGGTGGTGGGCGCAGGAGAATCCCCCACAGTCATGCTGCCCCTCACCCAGTGACAGGCTAGTGACGGGCAATGAAAAGAGGGCAGGACACGGGCAGGTTCATACCAGGCGAGCAGAACTGCAGAAAGCATTTTAAAGATATAATTTTTAATTATAAAAGTCACTACCACATCTGCTTGACATTTCACTGCATATATTTTATCTTTTACTAATATTACTGGAAAAAAATGTAACCGGTTTACAGAAAATCTGGAAAAGAGAAAAAAGAAAAAAATTCTGTAATATATCTCCCTAAAATATTTTTCTCCCAATAGGTTTTTGAATACCATTTTGATATATTTTCTTTCAGTGTTTTCTCAATGTTTTCAAAAGCAATTTTATTAGTTTTTTCTGCTTAATAAGATAATTTAGGAAACTTAAAAAAAGGAAAACTAAGAAAATAAAAGTATCCACTGTACAGGTAACCACTTTCATATTTTAACATATATTTTCTATCTATCCTGCTTAAAAAAACCTTACAGTTCATACTGCTTCATAGTCACTCTAATAAACCTCACTATTCTACATTATTAAATATTTTTTCTGTTGTATTTTCTAACAACAATATAACATACACTTTATTTACTCAAATTAGAGTAAAATTAATTTAATAATCCCCTATTGCTGGATATGTAGTTTATTCTTTTAATAATGTTATATACATCCTTGTAACTACATCTTTATAAATTTTCCTGATTATTTTCTGTGACTAAATTTCTATATGGATTGGGTCAAATCCATCACATTTTTAGGCTATAAAATATATTGCCAAAGTGCCCTCAGAAGACATTGTTCCTTGTTGCACCCCCACCAGAAAATTGTTTTCTGATTTCTCCACACCCTAGCCAACAATAGGTATTAACACTGCTTTCATCTTTGACTAACATTTTGGAAAACTTAGAATCATATAATATTGTATCACGCTTTTTAAAATTTTAGTGTTTCACAAGCATTCCCATATTGTTAGATTTCATAATTAGTTTCAATAATTGTATAACATATTACCAAGCAAATTTATTCTACTTTACCAAACCACTTTTCTTTTGTGGGATAGCAGAGGTTTTTGTTTTTGGTTTTTTCCCTCCAAATCACAATGCTGTAATAAGCATCTTCATGTTTGAAATATTTTTTTTCACATTTTGTATTATTTCTGTGGAACACATACTCAAAAGTGGAATTATATGAGCTAAAGGATATGAAAAAATTATGGGATTTGATACATATTGCCAAATTGCTTTCCTAACGGATTTAAGAGTTTATTAGCACACCAGCAGTACTGAGAGTACCAGTTTCAAAGTACCTTCATCAGCACCAAATTCTAGGATTCCCTCCACCTTAGCTGGTCGTTTAACACACAAAACAGAAGTCTGTACTATGATGTATTGTTTTGCGTGTCTTTGCTAATGAAGGTGGCATTTTCTCGTATTTACTAGTTACATTTTTGTAAAACAAAAACAAAAACATTTTGGTAAACACCGAAAATGTCACCGGGTTTCTTGCGTATTGGAGTCACCTCGCAGGTCAACAGGGCAAGAAATGATGCCAACCCAGTACCAGGACATATAGAAGTCACTGTGTGACTTCATCGAAGACAAATTCTAAGCGTAGACGACCATGCCTTCCTCCCCATCTTCATATTCGTCCCTCACCGCCCCTGGCGTCCCTTGTTTAGGGACAACGCCAGGAGAAAAACCAGGGGACGCTCTGTAAGGTTGGAGAGGGGGCACACCGTCCCGTTCTCCACCCAAGCTGGACTTGACTAGGCTGGGAGGGCACATCTGTTTACATCTCTGGAACGAATTCAGGATGAGGGCGTCGCGAGGGTGGAATCCGTAGAGCCTCTGGGTCCTGTGGCAGGGGAGGTGGGCTTCCCGCGCCTGCAGCCAAGGGGCGTCGAGCAAGCTGATGAAGCTTTAGAGACCCTTGGCGGCGACGTGCCCCAGAGGTGGGCCTTCTGTTTTATTTCCGCCAGGAACTGGAGTTGAGAATTTAAGTGTGCGTGTGTGCCTTGTAAATACAATAAGCACACATGCCCCTTCTCTCTAACCCGGTTAGCCCGGGTGTCCGTGTGCGCGCTGCCGCCCTGCAAGCACGAGGTTCCGGAATTGTTCAAAGCGCCCGCCGTTGCAGCAGGCGAGGCAGAGCGCTCCCTGGGGACCGAGGACAGGACCCAGCTGAGCCGCCGTGGGCAGAGCGGCGCCGGCAGCCCGGCAGCCAAAAGGCGCGGGGACCCGACGGGGCCAAGGAGGAGGGAAGCGCGGAGCACAGGCGGCAGGCCGCGGCGAGCGGGGGCGCGCATCGGGAGTCCGCGCCCGGCCACCTCCGCGCGCAGCCCCCGGCCGCCTTCCCCCGCCCGCCGCTGCCCGCGGCGTGACTCGAGCCTTCCTGGCCGAGTACGGGCTGTCCCTGGGCTAGCCTCAGGCAGACGCGGGGGAGAGAGAGCAAGGGCTGAGAAGCGCCGGCGGGAAAGGAATTGGCCGGAGGAGACGAGAAGGAGGAGGAGGAGGAGTTGGGAGGATGGAGGATGGAGTCCCAGGCGGAGAGAAACCGGGGGCCGAGAGCGCGCGAGCGGAAGACTCTGCCGTGCGGCCCGGGTCTTCGGAGGGTCTGCCACGCCCTTCCCCATCCTTTGGCCCGAAAGGAGGGGCAGTGGGGACACGAGCCGCCGGCCGGGTCCGAAACCCCCGCAAGACCCACGGAAACCCGCAAGCCCGGGGCTCCGCCGTCCAGGAGCACCTGCTGCCGCGGTCGAGCCCGCCGCAGTATTTATACCCGGGGCGCGAGCCCGCAAGGCAGGGCGCAGGGACCGGGGGGGGGAGGTTGCGGGGGGAACGACGTCCCGCGAGGCCCCGCCCCGTTCGGGGCGGCCCCGCCCCCCTGCGCGGCCCTCCGCACTCGGGGCGCCGGGACCCCCCCCTCCGGCCGGGGTCCGCGGCCCGCTGCCGGGTGTGGGGATTGGCTGAAGGGCGGGCCTCCCTGCGGAAAGCGACGTCACGGCCGTTCCTGCAGTGTGAATGAATCAAAATGCCTGGGTGACCGCGGCCTCCCCGGGCGGCCGGCACGCGAAGGGTGGAGGGGGAGGGGGAGAGAAGCGGGCGGGGGAAGGAGGAGGGGAAAAAAGCCAGAGCTGCAGCAACAGCGTCTCCTCAACCCGGGATGTGCACCTACCCGGGAGAGCGAGATCAAAGGGATTTGAAACAGACTGAGGGCTGGCGGGGGGAGGGGGCCAGCCAGCCTGTGGAATCCTCCCGGAGAGGCGGAGGGTCCGGCTTCCACCGTGACTTCGGCGGCCTGGTTGGGGTTTTTATTATTATTTTCAAATTTCTGAATCCAGCTTAAGCGAGAGAGCAAGAGATCTCCGTAGACTGCGACTCCCCAGCTCTCGCTCCAAGATGATGCAGAGTGCAGCTGTCCCCGCGGAGGGGGCTGTCAAGGGGCTCCCGGAGATGCTTGGTGTGCCGATGCAACGTAAGACACCCCCCTTTCTCGCTGATTTAATTTGATAACAAGACAGCCAGCAGCCTTGGCCGGTACGGGGCGGGTCGGACGCTGCGTGTAGCCTGGACCGGAGGGGCCGGGCGGGGCGAGGGGCCGCCAGCCCCGGCGCAGAGGCGGTCACAGGGCAGGGGCACCGACCAGAGTGCGTTTAAAGGGCCTGGCTCTTGGCTTTGGGGGCCGAAAGTGAAAGCCTCCCGAGCGTGCTCGGGGCCAGCGGAGGGTACCGAACCCCGCATCTCCAGCCCATGGCTTTTCTAGGAGCGTTGGGAGAGTGCTGTTTGGGGACACCAGGGGAACGAACTGCAGGCCAGGCCTGAGGGCTGGGGTGGTCCCCGTAAAGCACCCTCCCTCCTGGGGTTCCGGTCAAAGCTCGAAGTACCGCTAGTGCAACTTCACCCCAGCTGGCGGGAAGTTGGAGAGCGCGTCCCCCGCCCCCGGGGCTGGCGGCGCGGAAGCCCAGGCCACACGCTCTGTCCCCGCGCGCAGGGCGTGCGCGCCCGGTGCGTCCTCAGCCGCTGCTGCCCGCGGCGCCCGCAGCCTGCGCCGCCGGCGACTGCCTGCTTCTAGTGAGGAAGTCAACTCGCCATGTTCCAGCTAGCCGAGGAATGCAGGGGAGGGGGAAGCGCCGGGACGAAGTTGTGAACTCGGGGTACAGCCTTTGCGCAGGCGAGGACATACTTTCCGGACGGCTTGGACTCGGCAGGGGAGACACATAGGGTGCCCCTAGGGTATCTGGGCGCTTTGCTCGCCCACCCACTTTCTTTCCCGCGCCCGATATTAGCAAGACTGCGGGAGCTCGAGGCATGTTTATCCCCAGGTCTCTGTGTGTGTTTGGGTGTGCGCGCTCAGGCATTTTCCCGGAGGGAGCCTGTCTCTGTCCCGCACTCCCCAACGGAGTCTTCGATGGAGAATCTGTGCGGAGGCCGGAGCAGGTCCCGAGGCATCGCGCGCGCACGGCGGGTGCCTATAGTGAGTCCTGCCCTACAGGCTCGCGGACTCTGCGCAACACCCCTGCGCACCATGGAGAGGGAACGGTTCCCTCACTCCGCTTGCCAAGGGACTGTGCTTCCGTCCGCGATTTCTTTAGTGGAGCGGTAGCTACGTCCTCGAGGTTTATTTTAAGTAAATAAAATAATGGTGTCTACTTACGAACTCGGAGGGCGCGCGGCTGCGCCCTCCTGCGCCCTCCTGCGCCCCGACTCTCCGCCGCAGGGATTCTGCCTGGGCCATACCTCAGAGGGCAGGCTGGCGATCGTGTGTGTCCTGGGCTTCCCTGGGAAGTTTTTGAGAAGGAACTGGAAGAGGATAGCTTCCCCCAAACCTATGTAGGTTGTTCTCTGACTGTATCCTGCGGTTATCCTTTGTGTCTTTTCCTGTCAACTGTTGGCAAACGGTTCCACGTCTGCGTCGCGCGTTGGGAAGTTTCCTGCTGACCTAGATGTGTCTGTAGAAGGCTTTCGGGGTCCGCTGCTGCCCTCACTGCCCCCACCCCACCGCGGGCAAGGAGGGAGTGGGTTCTCAGCCCCTGCAGAAACGGAAACACAGACGGACTGTAGCTCTGCGTGAGTGAGGGGAGCGTGTGAATGGGCGGAAGGCGTGTGTGTGGCTCGTGTCCTTGTTGCCCAGTACGTCTGTGCTTTAATAGTTGTGGTCCGTAGGTGGCCTGTCAGGACGCAAAGAGGGCCGAGTGCTCTGCTCTGACATCCTTTCCTGGGGCGCTCAGCACACTTAGATGTCTCACTTTTTGTTTCTCTTACTCAGAGACAACTTTGATTTCGACATCAGGAACTCGATTTCCTAAAATGCCTAAAACTTGCCTTCAGAGCTACAGTTCACCAGGGCTCCAGTCTGGGTTCCAACTGTGGAGAACTCAGTGAAGCAGAGAGTGGGACTCTCATCCCAGGGCTGCCCAGCAGAGGCAATGCCGAACCAGGAGGGGCTGGTCTGCCTTTCCTTTTGTCTTGCCCTGGTTCTGGGGCCTGTTGAAGGAAGCAGTGGCCAAAACTGAGGGGCCCAATCCCAGAAGACTTGCAGTCCAGCTTTTTTTTTTTTTTGGCGGGGGGCATGCATGGAACATACTCACCCCTTCCGGCAGATGTGACTGTTGGTGCAGAGAACTGGGCATAGGTGGGGTGTGGTCCCCTCACACACATAAACACCACCATTCTCTTTTCTGGAACAAGTGGCCCACTGGCCTAACAACTCTCTGGGGGGTGTGGGGGGGGGACATGCCCTTAGACCTCAGGGAAGAAGAAGGGTCATCCCAGGCCTGTGGGTGTTTAAACCTTGGGAAAGTGGAGACAACAGAAAGGCTCTCTGGCAATGGTTCTTCCAACCCTACAACTGGAAGGTCTGGGTTGCCCCCCCCGCAGGGGCACACACACAGGCATATTTGGTTTCTTTACCTTGAGCTGCACAGATGTAGGGATCCCCCAACTTGGGTCCCTTTGGTGCCCTGGCCTCATAGGGGCATTTTAAGAGTTTGAATCCAGTTTGTTTGGGAGGCAGTTAGAATATTCTTTTGAGGGTGGGTGAGGTGCCTTCCCTTAAGGAAAACGTTAACCAAGTAGTGTAATAATTTCTCTCTTGGCGAGCTTATTCCTGGCTCTCTGCACCACCACCGCCACCCCCCTACCCCCCACCTCCCACCACTGCTCGCTCCTGGGGGGGCCTGGGGGGACTTGTCAGCATGGTCACCCTCCTCCTGCTTCCCCGCACAGGCATTGCAGGGCTGATGAGAGCCTCGCGGCTTCGACAGCTCCGCGGCGGCCTGATGGGGCCCACGCTTGGCTCAGACTTCTCCAGACAAGCTTGAGGATCCTCATCTGTTTGAGGGGCATCAGCCTGGGGCAAGAAGCTTGGGAGGAATCGGCGGGAGGAGTCTGGGAGCGATCCCCGAGAGAACCCTGGAGTAGGGAGGTAGAGCCCCACCCCCTTTTAAATCTCTGACGGTTCCGGGCAGCCCGGTTCCTGTCTTTGGTCAGTGTGTTCTAAGGAACTCAAAACCCCCGGCTCCTTGCTCTGGGTGACAGGAGCACTGTTTGTGTGAGGCTGCACCTTGAGGTTCACGTCCAGCATGAGTGGAGGTCCTGTCCAGCATGGGCCCAGGGCCTTGGGTAGTTTTTTTTCTGGCTAGGTGGATAGGTTCAGAAAGGGACCTTGTCCTAAGCTGGCGGGTCCCAGCTACTTGGCCCACTATTAGGATTGCGGTTCTCTCTCTCATTATGGGCACAGCCTGCTTCTGCTCAGGTCTTCCCGCCACCTCCCTCTGGGCTGTAGAAATGCCGGGTCCGAATTCTCACAGTTCCGACCCCGCGGGGTGGGGGGGCAGTGTTGGATTCCACGATCGCCTCCTGATCCTCCTCTGAACCTGTCTCCTCCCTGAACTCATCGGTTTCCCCACGCATCTCGGCCCGCTGGCCCCTCTTGCCTGCCAAGACGACTCCGAACAGTGAGGGACATACAGGGAGGTGGACGTTTTATTGCCCCTTGCCCTCGGTAGTTTTCCCCACATAGTTTCCCCGGGCACCAAGGGAAAGGACAATGGCCCCCAACGGCCTCCGGGTTGCTGGCTGGAGAGCTGGCCAACGCTGGTGGGAGAAAGGAGCGACCCACTGGGTCCAGGCAGGGAGTGATAAACGGGGAACATGTCCAGGGCATCTCCCATCCCACCCTTATCTCCTAAAACATCTACTTCTTGCAGCTCTTGCAAACCCCGAAGTTGTGAGTAAAGGGTATTTGATAGTGTATGTGGTAGGATCTGGGTGAAGAACTTCTCTAGGACGCCCCACTACCTTTTCTCCTCTTCTGGGGCACCTGCGGATGTGTGGGGTAAATCTTCTAGCATGGATTCCATCAGAGTCCTCATTCCCGACGTTATCATCCTTCTTGCAGACTATTTCTTAAGGGGTGGAAGGGACTCATTTCCAGGTCCAGGAGGTCTCTCAAACTCTGGAGCAGCGATTCGAGCTTCTTTCCATTCCTGCCTTTTCTGATGGTGCTGGAAAGAAAAACAAGGAAAAAATTTATTGTATGAGATATACCTCCATATATTATATATACGGAGAGACAGAGAGATGTTGATTGATTGAGATTCCGATACAGAAATTCAGACAGCAGCCCCGGGCACCACAAATCTCCTTCCTCGTGTCACAAAAATATTGTCAGGAGCGAGCCAACTTTTAAAGGTCAGACTGGTGCCTGTCCCTGCCGTTAGATTCAGGCCTCGCGAATTGGGGATTCCGATTCCCTAACCTGGAGGATCCCACCCCAGCCTCGGGCCAGAGCTTCGCCCCACCCGGAGGGGAATTTGGAGAAAGCCGGGTGATCACAGCAGCACCTCGTTGCGGAGCCGGGTGGCCGAGGGCGCCGGAGGGGCGAGCGGGCTCCGACCTCCCCGGTTCCACTGTCTGGATCAAAGAGGGCGGCGAGGGTGGAGGGGAGCCCTCCTTGGCCGGGCGCGGCCCCAGTGCGCTCAAGGAGCGGCATTAACGGTTTAACCCGGACGGGGAGCGGACAGGCGGGGAGGGTGAGGGGCGAAAGTCTGCCCTGAGAGGTCCCCAGTGATCGGGAAAGATGGAAAGTCGGGACTGAGAAGAGGAAGCAGGACCCCACTCGAGTTGTTTCTTCGCTTGGCCGCCGTGCGGGCTCGTGGAAAACCAGGGCCAGGCGGGGCTGGGCGGGAGCGGCGGCCTTGGGTCCGGGAGTGGGACCTGCGTGTCCCCCGCGCGCCGCGGGCAGAGCTGCTCGGCCCGGCGGGTAGGCGCTGGTCTGGGTGGCCCAGCGAGCTGAATTCGTTCAACAGGGTTTTGCAGCGCACCTGCTGGTGCTGTGCGCTGGCTCGACGCGTGCCCTGGGTGTTGAGGGCTTGCCAATGGGAGCAAGTGCGGACAGGACGGCCCATCTGGGAGAGCCGGCTTTGCGCACCCCGCGTCCCGCAGCCCGAGGTAGAGGTCGTGCCTGCGAAGGGG